TCTCTCTCTCTCTCTCTCTCTCTCTCTCTCTCTCTCTCTCTCGGTGGAATGGGCGGGTTGAGTCGTCGGGAAGGGGGGAGCGGGAAAGCAGAGTCAGGTGATGGAAGAGGCGAGGAGGGTGACCGGAGGCCTGGGAGGAGGTAGAGGGGTGTAGCATCGTTGAGGCGTCGAGAGTCCACCACACGTCACCGGGCCCACCATATCTTTCTCTGCGGCAAGTGCAGGGTCAGGGCCTACAAGACCCTGGATGACGTGGCCACTGACACAACTCTGCCGAACCCTACACGACCAAACTGCATTTAAGACTCCACCAGGCACTAGACCGCAAAACCTCTTTTGATCGAAAAATGAAACAAAAAAGTCTGATGTGGCCCTAGTTATTTGGATTTTGAACTTGTTTCGACGGCCCTGAGATATCATCATTGAACTGACCAGGCCCAGGTAATTCTGTTCACCTGATTGCATTTGGACTCAAACTTGGGTCCGTATTTCAACAGTTCATACCAACTGAGGTAGGCCCATTGACATGGTCTCCTTTAATGTTTATGGGAGACTCAGCATCTGAATAGATAACACACTTATCTTCCCTGTGCGCGGAATGAGATCTTGCAAGGCCTATGGCGCAAGCAGTCGATACCATCAGGGGGGGCAGCAAGCCTCGTGCCTGCCCTAAGTGAAGGCGCGCCTGCACTATTCTTGCGAGGCCTATTTTTGGGATTTGTGCAATTGGGGGCGCCAGACAGTTACAAGGCGTTACAGGGCACACACAGGCTGTGTGACTACAACATGGGGAGCTCTCCAGGCCTTTCCAGACAGTGATGTGGCTCCAGGTTTTTCGGTCAATCAAGGAGCAGAGAGTGACGGGAGCCATGTCGCAGAGTTGGGCGTGGCCTAACTGCTCTGGTCTCAGGCCGCTATCTGAATGGGCCTGGGCGCAGACACTTTGGCCTAATGCCAGGCTACTAGGTACTCGGCCTCCAAGCGCAGGCTGCTTAGAGGGCGCAGCACTTTCCATGTAGGAAAGTGCCGAGCGCCCAGCCATTCATTCTAGCTGCAAGCAACCTGGCCGCCATGCTGCTGGATTGATGCAGGCAGGCTGCTGGGGCGCCGGCCAGAGGGCGCACACGGGCGCTATCAGTGGAGGCGGTGGCGCTGCTGGGAGGCAGCGAGCGAGGCAGCCATAGCTGGACTTGCCTCTCTATTGCTAATGTGGGTGATGGTGGTCTTCGGGTAGGAGGCGCACAATGTGGGGGAGAAGGAAATGAGGGGAGCGATAGAAGGGACACGTACCTGATGTGTTTGTGGCAGTCTGCATTGGAGACTTCTTCATGTGCATCGGTCTTCAACTAGAAGTGTTCCTGGCTTTGTCACTTAGATGTAGGCTAGTATAGGTGCTGAGTAGGATAGGCTGGGCGTTGAGCGCCAAAGAAGAGGAGCGACATTGGATACATTGTTGGTGGTGGTGAGAAGGGGGCTGTCATTGACATTTGAATCCATTGCATTGCTCTTATTTGGCTTGTTACTCGGTGCTTGTTGCTTTCCGCTTGGTACACGACTATCTGGTCTTCAATGTGACGTTGCGATTTGGTTTTCTGTCTATTGCTCTCGCTCATGTTCCTTGTACCTGGTCCTCCAACATTCATGGGACCTTTCCCTTTCTTGCCATCATCTCCATCATCGCCACCGTCTCCACCCCTGTCACCGCCACCTACCTTAAGTGGCGGCTGCCGGCCGTACCCAGCACACCCGGGGATAGCTGAGGGCAAACCTTGGGAACAAATGGGTATAGACGAGAAGGTCTGGGAGGACCGTCGCAAGGCCCACCAATGTTTTAAATGTGGTGACCCCGACCACATAGTTCCCTTATGTCCAGAGTACAGATACCCATAAGGAAACAGCCAGTAGAGGTTGCAATTGCCTCTATAGGGACTTCAGACATAGACAGACAGATAGAAGTGCGTGTTGAACAGGTACCCCCCTGTCCGATGATCCCAGTGGCAGAGACTAATGTACGCTCCCGCCTAGTTAGTTGTCCAGAGGTTGCTTGTGTTAGGACCTCCCTAGGTGGCTCCCTCGCAAGCATTGGTGACGAGTTGATCACTCGTCGCCGCGCTTGGGCCGAAATGAAGAAGAAGTCGAAGGGGCAACTACTAATAGGAGATGTAGAAGTAAGTAGAGAAAGGATAGGCGCGTTGGTAGATAGTGGGTCGACGCGCATTTATATTCGTCAAAGAGGGTTGCAGAAGATGCACCTGGGAATGAAGGTAAAGAAACTCGATGAGCCGGTCATTAGTAAATTGGTCGATAATAGGGAGATGGTAGTGTGTGAATATGTTGAAGGGGTTAAGGCATACTTCCGGTTGGAGGCAGGGGGTAAGGTGGAAAACGTTTTGCACTCCCTGATACTCTTAGTGAAGGATAGCCTTCCTTTTGACATGATTCTAGGAACAGACTGGAGCAACATCGCGTACGTAGATATTAAGATGGGCGAGCACGAGTACTGACTGCCAGTCCCACAAGCGGGAAGAAGAAGTTGCGTTTGTTTCATGCATCCGGTGTAGAGAGTAGGTTATCCCTTTGTTGTAAGAGTGCCCCCGTGTTCACCAGGCACGTGGTCAAGAATGACCTCGCCGAACAAGTGTTCGTTGCTTACGTAAAACCGATTAGTGGGGGTAAAAAGGAAGAAGTGCCTATACCACCAAATGTGCAGAAACTGTTAGACGAGTTCGCTGATGTGGGAGAGGCCCCAAGTGGAGTAGTTCAGAGGGAAACAAAACACCAGATAGATATAGAACCCGGTAGCAAGATTCCTAAGTGGCCCATCTATTGGATGCCTCCCAAGGAGTTCGGTGAGTTGCACAGACAGTTGGATGAGTTGATAGAAAAAGGGTGGATTAAGCCAAGTTCCTCGCCATATGGTGCACCGGTTTTGTCCGTGCCAAAGAAAGAAGATGATATGCACATGTGTATAGACTCTAAGGGACTTAATGCGATTACGATAAAGAATGTTGAGCCATTACCACGGATAGACGATCTCTTGGATAAAGTGCAGGGTTGCAAGTTTTTCTCGAAGATAGAATTGAAGTCGGGCTACCATCAGATTGAGGTGTTGTCTGACGATCAACACAAAACAGCCTTTAGAACTCGATATGGCCACTGTGAGTTTGTGGTCATGCCGTTTGGGTTAACTAACGCCCCTGGTACCTTCACCGATGTATGAATGAACTCTTCCGCGACTGGTTGGACAAATTCGTTGTTGTATATTTAGATGGTATTCTGATTTCCAATAAGACGTTAGCGGAACACGAACAACATCTTCGGTTAGTATTGAGCAAGTTGCATGAAGCTAACTTTAAGTTGAACCCAAAGAAGTGTGAATGGGCAAAGCGTCAGGTGTTGTATTTGGGTCATGTGTTGGATGGCGACGTAATTAAACCAAAAGATGCCAAAATAGCAGCAACCAGGGACTGGCCGACACCGCGTACACTGACGGAACTATGGTTGTTCCTTGGTCCGCCCAACTATTACCATAAGTTCGTGAGAAACTTTATTGTAATAGTTGCTTCGTTGCGTAGGCTGTTGACGAAAGAGACAGTCTGAAAGTGGGATAAGGACTGCACCCCAGCCTTTAAGCGTCTGGAGAAGTGCTTGATAGAGTACCCGGTTCTGAAGATCGTCGATCCGTCCTTACCGTTTATAGTAACCACTGGTGCTAGTCAATACGGGATAGGTGTTGTACTCCAGCAAAATGATGGCAATGGGTACAGACCCATTGAGTTCATGTCCTGTAGACCGCCTAGTGAGAAGGTCGCCACTTCTACGTACGAAAGAGAGTTGTTTGCTCTTAGAGAAGCCTTGAATCACTGGCGGCATTACCTCGTAGGGCGGCACTTCAAGGTGTATTCAGACCATGAGACACTTCGTTGGCTAAAGACCCAAGCCCGGATGACACCTAAGTTGACAAGGTGGGATGGGGAGATAGATCAGTTTGACTTTGAAATGAAGTCAGTAAAGGGGAATATAACGTTGTTGCTGATGCGCTAAGCAGACAAGCTGATTTCTTCGGTGCCATTGTAACATACTTAGCTGTGGCCGTCGAGTTACAAGAGAAGATTTCATCCACCTATGCTAGTGATCTAGTATAGCATACTTGCGGCGTGTAGGTGAAGAGAGAGAGAGAGAGA